TACTACCTGTACAAGAAGCCAGGGGAGATGAGCCCATTAACATCATGAACTGAGTGAAGTATCTAAGGTTGATGGGGACAAAGGCAGGTCAGAAAGTCCTGGCCTTTCAGTGGCTCAGTGTCGCACACAAAGGCTCCTCCCAAATGTGCACCTAAGAAGAGGAACAGCATCTGTACAAAGGGCCTCCTAATAAAGGACAAGAGAGCCAATTGAGAGAGCTAATGCTGAACAGAACTTCTACCATTGCTTTTTCAGCCCATTCCTTTTCCTAAAAAAGCCCTTGAGACCCAGTCCTTTGACTGGATGTACGTGTGTAGATGTATGTGCTGCTGACTAGTGTGGTACCCCTCCTTAACTGGTGCAATGGTAAAATGAGGATTTTCCTGGGAAATGGTACTTTTTAGTTTGTTTTGTTTAAATCTGAGATATGAGAGGATTGTGAAAAAGAAACAGTCCTTTGCCTGAAATTCTGTACATCAACCTCAGGTTATTTCAGGCAATCATGAAGATACGGACATTTTTCATAAATTTACAAATATATATACAAATATACACATATTTACAAGCATGTGTGTGTCAACCTATGGACTAGATTTAATAATGCTTTATTCCAGCCACACACAAGTATAATGGTTGTTTTTTACAAAAAGAGATTGGTAGAAAGTTGGAGTGACTTAGCAGGGACATTTCCTACATCTATGCAAAAGATCCTTAAGCAGGCTGACATTGAAGTGCAGCCCCCTTACCTAAGTCCCCTCATCACATATACACATAAATAGGACCCAGTCTTACATCTACTAATGAAACAAATTTCTCCTTGATCCCAATGACCTGTAATCAAAGAGAATTTAACTAGAGAAAGAACTGAAAGTTCAAGCCCATTTTAGATACAGTTTAGAGTTTTGAAAGTTGTAAAGTCTATTTTACTAAGCCTCAAAATGCTTTAAAATAATTAAACTTACTGCAGAAAATACCTTCAAAGTTCCCAAATATGCTTTTCTGTGTAAGTAGGGGAAATTTTGTTCTGCAAAGATCAAACTGCAAATACATAGATATAAACACTCTAAGTGATGGAAATTGCCAAGTAAAAATAGTAACAGTTTAAATTAGATATCTGTGATTGCTGTTGGTGCCCAGGAGTTATAAATAATTCAGTACACTCTAACTGAATAGTCTAAGGCTGCACTTTTGTTGTTCTGATTACTCAAACCTTTTTCTTATGATCTATATTGTTAATGAATAACTCTTTGTAAAAAAAATACAGCCTTATGCTTTACAGCCAGAAGAAAACCCTTCTTGAGATAAAACATCATGAGAGCTTAAGCAAATTAGGACCGTATAAGTTTTAAAAAAAAATATTAGGCACCAAAAGCATTTAGTGCTTTATTCACTGTCTAAAGAGGGATTGGATGCTGAAGCTGTTTTGTGTATCTGGCCCCAGGAGACTGAGCCATGACTGATTCATGCTTCTTGGAGTCTACATCATTTTGAAACTGGGGCAAAACTCCCAGGTTTTTGAAGGCTTTACTCTTTATCTCACCCACTGCAGAATTGCTGTTGCTGCTTGAGCATTTCTGACCTGCTGGCAAGTAACTAGGCCCCTTGAAGGAACTGCCTTTGCAGAGATATTCCTGTGTCCTGCTGCCACAGGTAGGGCTCAGACCCACGGGATGTGAAGCTCCCTGCTGGGCCCGGAGCTTTAACCACAGCCTTGATGCTGCCAGCAGCCTGCTCAAGCCCTCTGCAGTCTCAGGAGTGTCCTGAGATTGTTGTTTCACTAGGGGATCATAAACATTTCTGGTTTGGAGGGGATACATTGGCATCTTTTCCTTAAATATCCAAATACCTTTTGATGGAAAATACCAGATTTATCCCAGTTGTCTTGTGCTTCCTCATGCATCTCCAGCAGAGATTTTGTATGTGATCTGCATGCACAACTTAACAGGGACAGAGATGGCATCTGAATTGCATTGCAGCTCCTGAGTTAAGTATAAAAGAACAGAGAACAATTATGCTGCATTTTCCTATGTATTTGCTCTCTATATAGGACACTTTTACAGGTTCCTGGCATCCACACCATGTGGGATGTGCACGTGTGTGTGTTTAAGGAAAGAAGGGAGTGAGGGTGCCCATGTTTACATACCCTATGCAAGAAAACTTTGGAAGTCACTTTTTACCACTGTGCAGGAATGTTAATCAGCAAAGGAAGAATATAAAAGGCAGTCCTAGAAAGGAATGACAATTCCTGCTGCTGATGCTGAGGGTGACATTGGATTACCCTCACAGAATTCTACCAATTTTGAAGCAACTGCTGTTGGGTCTCCCTTTTTTCAGTCTCCCACTTTCCCCTGGAGATAACCTATCTGAGACTGATATTTTCATTGAAAGTCTTCCCTGAACAAGGGAAGGACAATTGATCTGTGATTCTGGAGTGTTTTACTAGAGGTGACCAGAATTTAATTTCCCTCTTGTGACCTATATTGAGGCAGTTGTCCATACTCTTTCTCAAGTTAAATCCTAAACTTGTGCAAAGCCTACTGCAATTAAATTGACAGCACTATATCAGGCTACAGTTCTCCAACGGATGTCAACATGAAGCTTGTCAGAGCCCTTGGGCACCAGCAGCACTTGTTGCCAAAATGTTGCAATTAATAATTATGGCTCTGAAAAAGGCTGTATGAGTGGGGTATTAGTGGGGCATACAGGATGGAAACCCTAAGTTGAACTGGGGGAATGGCAGGGAGGGAAAGGAGGTAGCATCTGATGACTTTCTTTCTAAAGCCAAGGAATAGATATTGTGGGTGTGTAAGCACACATCTCATGTTTGGTGTTAACCAAGACAGCAATAAAATATTTTCTAAGGCATCTGAGCTTTCCATGAACCTCAACAGACTATGGAATAGTTGCATTATATTCCTGGCTATGACTGGAAACAGTGGACTATAACTTTTGAGCTAAGCCCTGGTTTTTGAGTTTTCACCTCAGACTGGCAGAATCAAGATTTTATGGATCTGGCCTGGAGTTAGCAATCAAACTTTAGGCTTTTTTGAACTTCATTTCCTGACCTTGGAAATTCATCTGTCACTAATCCTTATATGCTGTTTGTGTTTCCTGCGCACTTTTTACTCTTTGTCTGTTGTTGGTACCTGGCAATCATTCAGAGCTGTCTCAGTTTTTCACCTTGAGTCCTCCCTTGCTGGCTGGATGAGCACAGTGGTTTGGACCAGGAAGGGGTGGGAAACCTGGGGGCAAAAAAATGCAGTGGTGGTTTGTGTGAATGTGCCTGAGCACTCCTGTAGCCCTTCTAGGCCTATGTAGAGACACAGAGAAGAAAGAGGCCAAATAATGCATGTCTTTATTTAAGCTATACTTGGTAACATATTATTTTCCCTCCATTTCGCTGCTGGCAGTTAGCGTGGCGCTCAGGAATTAAGGACAGATTACAGTGATTTTCTTCTGAGCTCTGCTTATCAGTGGGGCTCCAGGGATGAGCCTGATTCAGAGGCGTTGCATGGTGGGTAAATGGACAGCCATGGAGACACAGTCTTCCAGGAATGCTTGGGAAGCTGAAATAGCCTTTGCACATCAATCCCCTCCTTCACCAACTTTGCTTTTTTCACCATCCATTGAACTACACAGCTAATGTGCCATAGCTAAAAAAGGTCCCAAATGACTTGCATCCACAGGAAAGCAGAATACCTGCACTCACAATTCACTCCTGGGAGGATAAGGATCCTCTGTTTAGAGGACTCTGAGGATGCTTTTTTCCCCTCTTTCATTTGTTATTGCAGCTGGAATAACATTTTAAAAAGTAATGACATTTTTTCAAAAGCAGTATTTCAAAGAAATTGCTCTGGTCACTGGTGGTTTGTGATCCACTTGTGACTGTCTCTGGGGTAGAAATAAAAAAGCCCAACTAGAAAAAGAACTGGAGGGACTGTACTGTTTAGATGAGGAAAGATCAGTTGTGTGTTTGCAGAGAGGAAGAAGGGATTGATGATATATGCAGGTAGCTAATATGGGTTAGGAAATTTAACACACAAACAACTTTAGCTTGAAGAAGGAGGTGTCCTATAGGACACCTATCCTATAGGACATAGGATACAGGGCACCTGTGCTCCTGCCACATAGTCCCTTCAGATGTACAGTGTCCCAGCAGGGACAGACAGCAGAACCCCTGCAGCTGATTCCTTACGGTCACAGGGCAACACAACTGAGTCACTACACACAGAACTTCAGCCTGCAGATCACTCTATGCTGAGCCAATTCATCCTGCATCCTTAGGATGGGCATTTTAGGGTAGCTGTGCTCACTGCACTCCAGTGGCTCTGTGGTCTCTGGAACACAGAGATGTGCTGTCCCAGAAGTGCAACATGAAAGGCTATGTGTGGCAAAGAGCCTGCTAAATATGGATCCTGCATTTCCACCTCACAGAAAGGGAGACCAAGAACATACTGCTTGCTCAGGCTAGGACAGAGTGTCACCTTAGCCACAGGGGAAGGATCGGAAAAGAAAAACATGGCTGGACTCAGCAGGAAGCTGAATGTCATCCAAGAAAGCACATTCTAGACTTTAGGCATATGAATAGTCAACCAAATGTAAGGGGATTAGACACATGCTCCAAGTAAAGCACATGCTTAGGCACTTGGCCAGAGCAGATCTGAGGGACAGGGTCAAGCCCCTTAATGCTGGGATCACTGATAACAGATTTCTAATTAGCTGCTCCTCCAACTAAGAAACAACACACTAGTCAAAAAGCTTCAATCTCTGTTCAGAAAGATACTTCAAAGCCTCCCTCAAAATGCAGAAACTCAGAGTAGCTGTGAGTGTGCTTCAGCTCAGGAGAGATGGAGACATTAACCTTCACAAATTTACATCTGGATGTATTCTGGGTCAACTCTGCTCTAAAGACAAGTCTGAGCATTCAGAGGTGTGGTGGGGCTGTGACCCCCATCCAGGGGTATGGAAGCACACGGGACTCCTGCCAGGTCTTCGAGAAGCAAAATCTCCCAAAAGGGTTCTGCCCTTACTTAAAGCAGTGATGAGAGATCTGGTGTTTGGACAAATGGTTCTTTTGGGGATCCAGCTGGAGATTAAGGTGACATGATCACCTGCTGCTTCAGACATTGCCATAGATTTTAAGATGCTTCACAGCCACACAGGCCTTACAGACACTATGCTAGAGCAAGTGGAAAATCACAGAACTGGCCCAAAGATTCAGGGTCAACACTTTTCTGTTGTTAATAAGATAACCGTAACCCACGGTCACACACAGACAGACACAGAGGCTTATATACAGCTTGTAAACCAACACCATCAGAGAATACTTCATCAAGGCAAAACTGGTTTTGAGCCAGCTGCAGAAGAAAAGGAAACCTTTGAAAATCCATCAAACAGCAAAATTACTTCCATTTCTTTAAATCTTACTGCTATACATCTTTCAAAACTGTATCTATAGAATTCACCCTGTGAACACTCAAGGAGCACACAAGGATACATCATCACAGGAGCTGCTGTACTGCTCTGCCTGCCACAGGGCCTGATGGTAGACTCCAGATAGGGACCTCTGTGACTCTGGCTTACCTGTGTCACTCCAGATATCTGTATTTACATGAAACACCTTTCCTATCACAGTCAGCACTGCAGAGGAGGAGGAAAGTTTGCATTCAAAGCTGTTTTAATTAAGCAGCTGTATAATTTCTTACCAATAAGTTGGGGTTTTTTCCAAAATTTTTCATGCTTTGAAGAAATGAACAATTTTTTAATAGGTTTTTTTTTGGTTTCCAGTTATTGGTTTTCTGCATTCAGCTTTCATTTAGCTCTCCAAGGCTATTTTTGTTTTAAATTTCCTTCTTCTGTTCAATGGTAATTCATCAACCTCCTTACCAAGTAGGCACTTGCACAGTCTAATGATTTCAAAACTTTTCAAAACCACTCTATTTGAAAACCTTCCCAGAAAAAAATAAATAAAGCAATCTGCTTAAAAAGGAAGTTTTTTCAAAAGGCTTGTATTTTCAACTTGAATAAATAAGTAATTTCTCTGGTCACATCTAATGTAAAATGAAATTGTGAAACTTCAGTTGACAGGGATGGCACTTCAGTGCAAACACACTGACTTAGGAGCTGGTATTGACATGTTTGGGGAATCTGTAGACAACAGAAAACAAAAGCTAGGTAGTTGAGCAAGAATGGAAGAAACCCAAATCTACTCTATTCCAACATGTCCTCCAGAAACTTCGTTTCTTTGAGCACTGTAATACAACTATATGTGCAAGAATTATTTGTTAGCTGGATATTTTTAAACCAAGCAATACTGTTTCTTGCCAGCTGTGTAAATGGCATGACCTGGAAATTAAAGTCTGCATTTCTGTGCAGCAGGCACAGGCTCCTTCTCCTGTTGATATATTTTAGATGGAGAGGATTACTTTTTATTGACTGATGAGGACTCATATCATGCAGCTATCAGGTAAGAAAAGATTGCTGGTACTATCCCTGAATTAAGAGCATGTTGGGTTGGATTGGTTTTGGGGAGACTTTTTTCTTTGCCCTGTCTCTCTTTGCCTGCACATTTGTCAGTGGTGCCCTCACTTTTGCACATGGCAATTCAGTCATCATTCTTCAGAGTCCCTTTGGCTACACCCTTGGACCTTCTTCCCTACCTTCCCCTCAGCCACTGGTACCCTGCAAGGACCCACTGTCCTCACAGCCAAAATGCTTTTCTTCCTCTAATGGCCTTCACCCACCTCTCCAGAATTAGCTGTTGTTTAGCTCTTCTGGGACCTATGACCTGAACAACGGGAAGAGCAGAGGGAAGGAAAAAGGAGACAATAGGAAGAGGAGTAGCAGGAAAAAGAGAAAGACCAAAAAAGAGAGAGAGTTCCATTTGCAGATTCACAGTTATATCATACAATGCTTAAGCTCATGGGAAATGGATCTCTGTTCTCTGCATCTGACCCTTTCACATCCATCTGTACACAGTCCTCCCAGATGGAGAGAGGAGATGTCCATTGAATTGGGGCAGTTTCCAAAGACAAGATGTGGGAAGGTCTTATTTGGCATACATGAACACAATGAGAGGCATCTCTTACTTCTCTTCTACGGAAATTAGCTCCCTTTTCCTCCTCCACAATGGCTTTTGCTCAGTTGTCTCAAACATCCAAACTGGAAACTTGATGAAATCCCATTCCATCAAATCCCTGGGAAGAACAGCTACCAGGCCTTCCCCCGCCTCCCTTCTCCTTGGTCAGTCTTCCCCTGGATCCACCATCCTGAACTCTTAGAAGCTCCATGAAAAAAAAAACCTGCTGAAATCCACCAGAGAAGATGTGCTGTCTCAGACCTGACGGCTTTCCTCACGCTTCTGCCGCTGGGTGCCTCAGTCTCGGGCCACAAACACAGCATGGATGGCTTGGTGGACAATCACATTGCAATGTTTTAAATTTTTCTTTTTGTTAAAAAAAATAAATAAAGTAAGAGGGAAGAAAAAGTTATACACACATGTATCACAGCATTTTCAAAAGGCCTTCTGCTGCATTTACATTAGCAGTTCAGCCTCAGTTGTAAGCCTGGATGTAAGGCAGCTGGAAGATTAAAACCGCATTGTTGGAAAGTCCGCTGAGATGTCCTCTTGGAGATTTTTATTGTTTTCTGGTTTTATTTTCTTGGATGTTTATTATTATTAATTATTAGTAGTAGTATTTTCACTTGTTTACTTCTCTCTAAAGTTTGGCAGGCAAAGAGAAAATGCTTTTCTACTTTTCCTCACACATTCTGTCCATTTTGTTTTCTGCGTTTTAAGGAGAAAAAAACCCAACAAAACCCCAAAACCAATGACACAATTTCTGTCATTTTGTTTTAAGAAAGAAAAGGAACATAGGTGGGTTTCTGATAATGGCCTTGAGGAGGTATGTTGTTGAAGTGGCTCAAATGCTTCATTTGCTTGCTGTTTACATTTTCCCTTCTGGCTGCAATGGACACACTTTTTGTGTCATCCCCCCCACGCCTCTGCCCCCACCATGTCCTGTACAGATTCTGGTTCCAGATTGCCCACATGGATCCCCTGTTTGCCCTCCCAAATGGCAGTAGGTAGGTGCAACTGTAGGTTCATTTGACCTCTAAGGTATGATGCTGAAGTTAAGAGTTGGATGGAAGAGCCATGTGAGAGAAAAGCTTTCCCATCACTGTGAGAAAGAATGAAGCAACACAGAGTCCAGTGGAGATGTGAGTGCCATGTTGGACTCAGCTCTACCTTGGCACTGGCATTAATTTGAGATTTTATATATATATAATTATATATACATATATATGCATGTATAGGCATACCTAGGCATATATATATATATATATATATGTCTTTGTGTGTGTGTATTTGTTTGCTATTTGTTTTAGCACACTGTCCCGTTCTCAGGTCTAGATTTGGGGCAGTTGGTCCTGGGGACAGGTTGGACAGAAGGGGCCAGAGTGCAGAAGAAGCCAGAGATGAGAGTGAGGCCCAGGCCCCCCCACGCACAGAACATGGACCAGCCGTAGCCGTGGCTGATGTCGTCGGGCAGTCCGTACAGGTAGCGCGGGTAGCGGGACAGCTCAAAGTTGATTCCAGCCACACACGTGCACAGTGAAATGATGCAGAAGGTTCCTGGAGGAGAGTGGGAGGGGGAGAAGGAGAGAGGAGAAAAACAAAGAGAAGTTAGAAGAGTGATAGACATACCCCTTTCCGAGCTGCATGAGAAGAGCTGGAGCGAGCAGTAAGGAAGTGCCTAAGGGAAGATGTTTGTATAGAGAGTGGCTTCGTCTGGAGGCTCCATGGAGAAAGAATTGAGTGCCACCAGAGCCTTGAATATTGATCTGCTGCTGAGCAGAGCTGTATGGAGAAACTTCAACAGGAACATTTTTTCATTATGAGCACTCCCTTGGGAACAAGAATGCTCCATGGAACCATTGATTTTTCTGAAACTTTGCTTTACAGAGTAAATACAGAATGAATAATCTTGTTTTGACATTTTTGGGAGGAAAAATAACCTTGAATTTTTTGTTTCATTCCAATTTCTCAGCGATAGGCTTTATAGGATATTACAATATACTTGTCATGTTCTGGCTCCATTGAAATGTACATTTGAACTTACGTGGGAGATTTTCTTCATGCTTTTCTTATATCAAAATACAGAATTTTTCATTATACAGTCTCCTTTCAAATATCACTAAAAAAATCTTTAAATCCTTCACAAAACTCAGATTCTGCCCTCTGCATGACTCCAGTTTCAATCCAGATGCCCTCTGCCACATTGCTGAAATCTTCAAAATATCCTGTTCTTGTTTTCCATCTCTGCAGAAATATTTAATTTCTTATTTCTTCCTGAGAACACAGCGAGGACAAACTTCCTAGCTCGGTCAGTTGGTGTTATGAAAAGACACACATATCAGATGAGGCTGAACTTTATCCCACCCAGATGGGTTTAATTTTGATCTTTGGCCCCCAGCTTCATCAAGGCTAAACTCTGAGCTCCTGAAATGTCACAATTGCCACCCACACACCAGATAATGGATAGATACAGATGCTACACACCTGCCACAAGAGATAACGACTCACATCAGCATGAAGTTGGTACTTTATTTTTCTTCTCTAATTCCTCCCTTTGTGGGCCTCTCTGGATTGCCTGGAGAGCCCTGGGCACAGAAGGCAGCCTCCAGACACACACAGTCAGTCCTGTGTGTCCTCCCTCTGTTCATGCATGCATCCATAGCGTGTGACGTGTGCTACCTGTGCAGCTCATCCTGCATCTGTTCACTTACAGCTGCTGGTGAGGAATGTCCTCTTCTTCCTGGTCCCATCCCTAAACCAGCATAGTCTTCCAAAGCAGTCACAATCAGCCTGGTCTCAATGACAGGCTCCTGTCTTCTGCTTAATAGATGTCCTTGCTTCTACCCCTTCCTGCCCCTGGCTCTGCTTCTTTTCTGCAACATTTTTGCTGTTGTTTCTCTGCTGCTTTGCTCTTTTTAGTTGCAGTTGCACTGAATAAATGAATTTGACCCTCCCCACTCTGAAGACAGAGGTGAGATTATTTGGTGAATTCCCATGGAATTCAGTTCAGAAACTGGGAGCATTTGCAGGAACATACCTACATGACTAAAATGTGTGGACTTTCCATTATACCCACTTCCTTTATTTAGCAGGAACATCACATAGGCATTGAATCTACAGGCAAATCTCTATCTTGGACCTGCAGTGAGATCACTGTTATGGCTCCCTCTTCTGATCACTGCTATGCCTGTTGGGATGGCCTTTTCTCCACTGTATTTTGGAATGTCACTTGCAGCTAGTCTCTGCTGTAGAGGTCAGGTGTTTCTGCTACTGCCATGTGCAGCTGCCAGATGGCCCAGGATATTCACAAATATTATGGGAGCGCCACTGGGCACCAGTGAGGACCAGCGAGCTGCTGCAGTAGGTACTCTGCCTATTTCATTCCAAACAGTCTTCTTGCCTCTCACCAGCACCCCAGCAGTATGCAACCTGTGATCTGGATTCTTGCAAAAGCCTCATGAGATCCCAGGCTCTGGAGTTGTCCTATACTACTTCAAAGCACAGAGTAGGATAAATGGGAGATCACCATCCCACAATCCCTTAGTCAAAAATCAGGTTGTTTTATTTAAAACCACATATCCTTTCCTATGTTACTTATTTTTTCAGTAATATGAAGATGTTTGACAAGAATGCAGTTGTTCCCTGTGTTCTATGTCAGAATGACTAGAACATTGTGGGATTGGGGAAAAATGATGCCTCAGAGGCACTGTGATCTGAATTGAGCTCTGTGGCTCATTTCAAATGGTTGTGGTTAGAAAATGACAGGGAAGGCCTTTCTTTGCTAGTAAGAACATGGTGATTTCTGCTCTCTCAAAATATAAGATTGTTAAGAGAGGTGGGTGGGAAAATCTGTGTGGCCAGACTAAAGCTGCATTTGCTAAGTACAAAAGGGAAGGAAATAACTTTGGATTTCAAATACTCCCTGTGCTTTCACGCTTTGTCTTGGCTGTTTTGTTCACAAGCTCTTCAGTGCAATGAGTGTTGCTTACTCTTTGAATTTGAGCAGTGCCCAGTGTATTGGCACGCCACCTTGCTGAGGGTATTCTGCCCCTTAACAAAGGAACAGCAAAGAGGAGCAAGTAGCAACACTAGAGAACTAAGCAAATCACGAGCATGAGACTTCTCTAAGAAAAGCCTGGCCCCTTTCTGGAGAATGTGCTAACACGTGGTGACAAATAATGACTGCCATGCACAATGTCACAGAGTGCAGAGCACAGTCCTCAGCCTGTCACCCCCCAGTGCTTCTGCAGGATGTCTTGTACAGCATAGACTTATCTGTCTCTCTAGCACTGTTCATTGCAGACACAAAAACTGCCATTTTATGCCATCTAGAAAAATCTTTATGGCCTTTTTATGAGTCCTATGTGTTGCTTGTGTTCAGCCAAGCAAGGAAGTTCCTGCTTATAGTTAATCTGGCCTCTCACCAGGAAGGCTACTGATGAAAACCAAGTAAAGTTCCTACCTCATAACTGTTCAGTAGCTTTTCCTCATGAACTGGCAGTCAGAACATGAAAGATCATCCTTGCAAATTGCACAGTTGTTGGCCATTGTAGTGAAGGAGTCATGGGTAAAAGGGATGCAGAACATGAGCTTACCCATGGAAATGAAGCCTCTGCTAGTCCAGGTAAGACATGGAGCTGAGGTGGCAGGAGGAGGGGGGCTGTTGCTGGTGCCCATGACACTCTGCACTATAGACACAGTGCTTCAGAGGCAGCAGCACTGCAGGAAGTCATGAGCATTCCCAACCCTATGATCCTTTTTCTCCCCAGAAGTCAAACTGAACCCTTCTGCAGTTTCCTCCCAAGTTTTTACTGTCAGTGAAATATCCTCCTACATGTGCATTAATCCCTCAGATCCCCTGGAAACTGCATTGATACAAACTTTAATTTCTTTGTGAAAAACACTCCCCATAGCTGTGGTCCAAGCACATGACCAGACCTGAATGTTGGTGGTCCAGCCATGGTCCTGGCACAAAATGTGAATGGCAGGTGTCAATAAGAGCTCACTGGTACGAGCTGCACAGGGAAATAAAGGCCATGTCCTTCAGCAGCTGGGGGGAGCAGAACTCACAAAGTTCTTTGTGCTGGGATTTACACTTTATCCTCCAAAGTGAAACCTAATGAATGAGACACGGCAACAGTGGGATTTTTGACAGGTAATTCACATGTCACTGCAAAATGCTTCAATCAAGTGAGAGATGAAATTTCATGTAAAGCTGTGTCTGTGCCACAGAAACTGCTGTTTGACATGTAGTCAAACCTCCATCCTGACTCCTTGTCAGGTAGCCTCCCTTCATCTTGGCCTGGTTCTGACAGTCCCTGTCCTGCTAATGGGTGGATGATCATCATTGAGAACCTGAGCTATTAAATACCTCTTGGTTATCTTGTGCCTGTCTTTCTTATATATTAAATAATAATATTAAAAATTACACTGGATGTCCCTTTAATTTAGAATGGAAGGTTTTTTAGGACAGAGATGAACTTATTTCCCATATATGTACATAAGACTAGGGTCCTGCCGTACTTGCTGAAGGGGCAGACATGGTCTGAAGAGGGAAAGGTACTGTCAGTGTTGGTCAAAGCCTAGTTCCACGTGGATTATGAGTCAGAGCCCTTTGCTGTAGCTGTTTTCAAGCATGATTATATCAAGCAGTGCCATGGGCCTCTGCTGCAAGGAATTATTGTTTTCTTTTTTGTAAATGTCCCTTTCTTTCCAATCAGCCCAGCTGTGTGAGGGTCTGCAATGCCTCCACAGTTTTTAAACCTCACCTCCAGGGAAGACTAAAACTGCTTGTGAGTGAACTGATTTAAACACAAACAGGCTCAAATCATCCATAGCAAATCTGTTTGATTTTCCCTGATGCTAGTATCCCCTTGAACCATGTCAGCAGCCACGTCCTTCACCCATAGACCTGGCTCAGATTCCAGAGCCATAGAGCTTGGGGGATTTCCCAAGGTCTGTGATGTCTTGAGACAAGAAGTGATGCCTTTCTAAGATGCACTGCAGATGAAGGGGAACCTTCGTGGTGCTAGGGCATAAACAGACCCTGCTGGCAGGAGCTACATCTAAACACCCTCATCCTTATTATTAGAGAGGAGGTGTCTGACTGAAGGAGACATCACCAATTTGAAGGCATGGGAATTCCAAAAAGCCAGTAATTAAAATGATCTGGGCACCAAGCCCATCTCTGAGACCCTCCTCCTACAGATCATTTGTCTCATGATTTGGAAATCATTTCCTTCGCATTTGACAGAATGATGTTCATCCCCTCCCTTCCCCCCACAACAGACAGAAGTGACTCACAAACTGTGCTGTCAGATGTACAAAGTAAACAACCCCAAAAACTGATTCTTCTCACCTTCTGTTATTTTTTAAAGCATGTGGAAATGTCAAGTATTACTAATAAATTGGTAGATAAAAAGAGAACTGCAAAGGTATGGATTTTAAGATGTCCTTTGAAACCATGCAGTTTTCAAATAAATGTAAATCTCTACCCTTAAAAGTATTTCTAGTAGCTTCTTGTGACCACTAATGTCTTTGAAAGGAGTGCTGTTTAC